AGGGCCTCATACTAGAATTTTTCTCTTCCCCTCCCAATCTCTTCAGAACCTTCTCCTCTTCCCGGGACACTGTTAAACGTGATCTGGTCTGGCTCGTAATTCAACACTTATTGGAGATACAGGCAATAGAGCCGGTTCCCTTAGAGGTCCAAGGACGAGGGTTTTATTCCAACCTCTTTATTGTTCCGAAGAGTTCGGGGTGGGGTGGGGTGGAGAGCAATCCTGGATCTGAAACATCTGAATGAATTTATTGTTTATCACCGCTTTAAGATGGCGTCTTTACATTCCATCCTGTTAGATATTAGGCAGGGCGACTTCATGGCATCCATAGACCTTATTGAAGCGTACCTTCATATCCCAATCTGGCCTTCCCATCGCAAATACCTTAGGTTCACTAAGGAAGGAGCCAATTACCAATACAGGGCATTGCCATTTGGTCTAGCTTCGGCCTCACTAACATTCACTAAAGTCATGGCGACTATGGCGGCCTATCTTAGGTCTCTCCCTGTCCGACTTCAACTTTATCTGGATGATGTCTTAGTACAGGCTCATTCTTATAACCAATTTCTGATGGATGTCCAAATTACCATTGACACCCTCCAGCAGGTCGGATTCTCAGTCAATTTTGATAAAATCCACCTAACTCCCACCACTAGGTTATTACATCTGGGAGCAATTATTGTTTCCAAGGAGGGGGTGGTCTTTTTGTCACAAGACTGTAAGGCGAAGTTACAACACTTAGTCTGAGATATCAAATCGAAGAGGGTGGTTCTCATAGTAGACCTTTCGCGTCTTTTAGGAATGATGATATCGTGTATAGGGATAATCCCCTGGGCATGGTTTCACACCAGAACATTACAGTGGGTCTTGATCCCTTACCAGAGGGAAATGATGAGCAACTCACCTTTGGCCATTCCAGTGACTCCGCAGGTTCGCCTGTCACTCTGGTAATGGCTATCTGCTGTGCTCGGCCAGGGGTCACAATTCAGAGAGCCAGTGAGAATAACCGTGACATAAACTATCTAGAGCTCAAAGCAGCATGCCTACCCTTCGACATTTCCAGCACGACTTGCACCACAAACACGTGTTATTTCTCACCGACAATATCGCCATGAAGGCGCATGTGAACAGGCAAGGTGGGACTCTTGCCAGGGCTCTGTGGACACAGGCACACAGACTGATCTAGTGGGCGGAGGCACATGTGGTCTTGATCACAGTGGATCACATTTCTGGGACTGCCAATCACCATACAGACTGGCTCAGCCGAGCCACAATGAACCATGGGAAGTGGCAGTTTCACCCAGACATTTTTCAAAGCATCTGTTGCAGATTCGGAGTCCCGGTGATCGATCTCTTTGCAACACTGGCGAGATTTGTGACCAGATATTGGACTTGGGGAGCCAAGGACACGGATGTGTTGAGATGCTGATGGCCGCCAGGCCTTCTATATGCTTTCCCTCCCCTTCGCCTTCTTCCAGGGACAATCACGAAGATAGTGTCAGAGGGTGCAGAGATAATTTTATTAGCACCGTACTGGCCCAGGAGGCCATGGTATGTGGACTTGATCCAACTGACAGTGTCTCATCCTTGGAGAATTCCCAGGGAGGAGATTTGCTTGTGCCAGGGGGTGTTAATTCATCCAGAGCCTCAATGGCTCAAACTAACTGCCTGGCACTTGAAAGGGACATTTTAAGTAGGGCCCATGTCTCTGCTAAGGTTATCTCTACCTTAGAAGCAGCCAGGCGTCCTTCGACCACTAGAATATACAACACTACATGGTTGGTGTTTGTACAGTGGTGTGAGGTGATGTCCATTAAGGCAGATGATAAGGTTAGGGTTAAATAGTGGCTCCATCAGCCGCTATTGAGTCATGAATTCTTCCCTCCCTAAGGACGGTAGCTTGGGTACGTCCCGTTGGTAGCACCTCATGCTCTTCGTTATTAAGAATGATCATTGGTACTTACCTGAATGTCGATTCTAATGATGAAAGCGGGAGGTGCTACCTTCCCTCCCTATTTATTGTAGCGGCATGGGGGCAGAGGTGTAGTTTTTTCCTTGTGAGCTTTGTTTTGCAGTTTTACTCCCTATGACCTTGAGGAACTAGGAAGGAGGAGCAAAGGTGTGCCTGCAACTTTTTCCCTCAGTATATGGACCAATCAGGACTGACTATAGCCCGTTGGTAGCACCTCCCGCTTTCATCATTAGAATTGACATTCAGATAAGTACCAACGATTGTTTTCCCTGATTGGTTTTACTTTGCAATTATAAGAATTTTGGATTTTCCAAGAAGTAATACGTGGACTATATATTTGTAGGGGAATATGACAGATTTAAGAATGGCCATATATAAGTGCCTTATCTACCTTGCAAAGGTCCCATGTCAATTTACAATAATCTGTAATTAACCATTTAGGAATTACATCTGTTTTGCTTAACATTTCTATCCTAACCATGAGAGGGGAGCCTTAATGGATTTAAGTTTTGCAGAACTCTGATGGTGTGAAATATTGCATGTTTCTATATTCAATATTTACTTTCTGTAAGTATCCTTTTCAGCATTTGCAAAACTCTGAAATAGTAACAATACATTTTAATTGGCTAATTTAATTAGGTCACTAAATTTCTTTTATGGAAATTTATTTCCATATATTATTATTTCTCATTTTAAACATTCACACTTCATATTTAGGTGAGATTTCCTCCTCGTAAGTCCTGTCTCCTCTGTGTAATTCTCCATAGTTTACAGTATGCATAGATATTTCATTTAATCTCTTATAACCAACCTCTAAAGACATCTGCTTATATATCACTGTCTTTGAGATCTTTTTCTGGCTCATATTTTGGTCTCTTGGTTACTGCTATTATAAATTTATTATCCAGTATGATTTATAATACCAGAGCTTGTGCAAATAATGGCTTAATACCAAGAAAGCTTTTTTTATTCTGTAATAAAATTATATGCCTAAAATTTGATACAATACTGTGGGTATTTCATAAAATTTAGGTTATAAGCATCAAATCTATTTGAAACTTATGGCAGCTCACAAACAAGGTAATGCTGTGTGTGTGTGTGTGTGTGTGTGTGTGTGTGTGTGCGCGCGCGCACACACACACACACACACACACACACTCCTAAAGTTCTAACCTTTTCACGATGGAAAAGGGCTTATGGATCCTACTATTGGAGAAATGGAAGCTCTTGTATTGTCCAGTGGAGAAAGAAAATTATTTGACTGAATGAAAGAATGTTAACTACTTCACCACTGGCTGGCTAATTGAGATACAGGAATATGTGCACTTTAGAATAGAACAGAATAGAATACAAGAGAAGAGAAGAGACATAGAATAGAATAGCTTTATTTAGCTAAGTGTTTGGACACATAAGGAATTTGTATTTGGTGCATATGCTCTCAGTGTACATAAGGAGAATAAAATACATTTGTCAGTAGGATTGTAAAGAATGATACTGGAGGAAAATAAAATTTAGAAAATGAAGTATGCCAATTTAGTGATATTTTTATTACAAAGAGAGTTTTCTCTGTCCTCTATATTTTAGATAAATAGTTTTGTCATATTACATATGTTTATCAGCTCAGCGGTTTGGAAATATCTATGTTGTCATTCAACAGCTGCTTTATGATTAGGCACAGATAATAAGGTAATTATCACTGTCTGTGCTTTCTTCATTTCATCTTTCTTTGAACTTTCTATTTCTAATTACCCCTACTTAACCATTAATGTATCTATAAAGCTTTGAATTTCATACAGAGTTGACTGTTTTCCATGAAAAATTAAATTTGTTGAACTGGTCACAAAGAAGAAATAGCTAAGTAGGTATCTATACGTATGCTGCCATATTTTCCATTTCAGATGTATTTGGTCTTCAGACGCTCAGGACCCGACTATTAAGTACTGTAAATTCAGGAGATGATTCCCTGCTGTCTCCAACAGCACTACAGTACTTCAGTTGTAGTAAGGCAGGATGCATTCTCTGAAGTGGTTCTTACTTTCTGAAGCACACTTAACAACTGTGGGGGTTTCTGCCAGAAATTAAAAATAAATATATATAATTATTCAAATTTTTCCCTTCCTTCAAAATCAGCTGCTCTCATTATTTTCTTTTAAATTATTGGTATCAGGTTGTACTTCTGTATTTTGTTATTATAGTTAAAAAAACATTTAAGCAAAAATAGCTTTGCAAGTAAAAAAAAGAGTGATAGCAACAATAATTTATTAAACTTTTCACGAATTTGCAATTTATACAGCCAGTAGCCTTTATGGCTAGGAAATTATGAGTAATTCTCACTTAACCACCACATTTGGGAATGCAAAAGGCTATTGCTAAGTAACATGGTCATTAAGCAAGACATGTGACCCCAATAGACCATGGGTGTCAAATTCCATTGTGTCGCGGGCCAGAATCATGATGTATCATGACATTTTTTGCCTTTGCGGAGCTGGGGTGGCTGCGGAGCCTGTACATGACGTATCCGGCCCACGGGCCACCAGTTTGATAGGCCTGCAATAGACTAAGGAATTCACTTCTGCTACAGTCATTAAGCAAATCACCTCATTAAGCATAACTATGTCTTGCAATTTTATTGCTAACTTCTCCATTGATTTTACTTGTCAAAAGTTGGCTATGAAGCAGTTAAATGACAATTGTGGGATATTGTAATAGTTGTAAATGCTTTCTGTTTGCAAAATACCCAAATCTTTTTTATATGACCAAGGGATGCTGAACTCTCATAAGTGCAAGGAACAGTGGCAAAGTTTTTTCCCCCCAGGATTATTGTAAACTTGAATTGTCTCATTAAACAGGGTGGTTGTTATGCAAGGACTACCTTTATGTGTTTTGAAATTCTAATCATCTGATGGGATCTTGGTTAAAGGTGACTGACCCAGAGTAAAGTCTTTACTCAGATTGTCTTTCAATAGAAGCCTAGGTCTTAAGCTTCACACATTGGACCTCTGCTTAATTTTGTCACTTTTTTTTAAAGCGCGAGAAGCTGGTACATGAGTTGGAGGAAGAGCGACATTTGAGATTTGAAAGTGAAAAAAAACTACAAGAAATGACCCTGGAATCTGAGCGCCACAGGGTTCAAATGTGTGGACTGCAACAGCAGTTTTCAAGGTAAGCAGAAGGTTTGAAAAATTACCCGATTTAAATACTTTTATACTGTACATACATATAGACACTTGAATACATAAGTAAATAGAATATGTTGTCATAGTTGTTACTAATTTTCAGACATGATATTTTTCCTTGTCCAATAGAAGCTTGTCTTCAGTGGTGGGTTTCAATTTATTTTACTACTGGTTCATAAGTGGGAATGACTTGATCCTTAGGAATGTGTATATGTATGGGGAGAAATGCTCCTGGGGAATGATAAAAGAGGATATAGCGCATAGCTGCACAATGTGCAGAGAAAAAGACTCAGAAAGGAACCTCCTTAGATTATCAGGCTGTAAAAAGGGACTGTGGGAGATTTGTACTTTCAGATCTGCAATATTCTGTTAATGTACCCATACAATAAAATAGAATTTGCTCATCTGATCCCGTTTCCTATCTGGCTTACCCCAGAAGGCCAGTGGTACCTGACAAAACTAAAAAAAGAATTTATATGACTGAACTATTCTTGCTAAGTTAATTCAGCTGTTATTACAAATACAAATACAGATAAATCCTTGACTTACAGTCATAATTGGCACCAAAACTTCCATTGCTAAGTGATGTAGTAGTTAAGCAAATCACTCTGGTCATTAAGCAAATCCAGCTTCCCTCACTGACCCTGAGTTGTCACATGACCCTGTGCAGCTGCAACCATTGTAAATAGATGCTGGTTATCAAGTGCCTGAATTGGATTATGTGACCATGGGAATGCTGTATGGATCATAAATGCAAGCACTAGTTGTAAGTCACCATCCTAACTCTGAACGGTTGCTAAATGAACGATTGCAAGTGAAGGATTTACCTGTAGCAGGATACTTATTAGAGAAAATGGAAAACTGAATAATTCCTAGTGCTGAAATCTGATAGTATGTGAATGATCTTGGGAGACGGGAGGAAGATTTCCAGTCTACCACATGGTCTGTTAAGAGGCAGCTGTGAGGGTACAGGTGGGGAAAAAGGATAGAAAGTATTTCAGAAGGCAGTTTTCTTTCTAAAAGATGTATTAATTCTTTATCACTGATAAACCCAGAAGTTATAAATGAAGATATTGATAGTTTATTACTGTTCTAAGAGACATGAGCACAAGCTGATCATCAAGGTGTATTCAATTCATATGAAGATCACATCTCAGTTTCACAAGCCAATATATGAATTTTATACAAAAATACCACCTTTCCTTCTATTTTCAAGTAGGATACTGAATAAAACCAGGAAATCAGAAGTTGGCTTATAATGTTTGGAAGACTTTTATTAATCATTTTTACTTTTACTCACAGAACTTACATGATCACCTATCTCATATAATGAGTCTATTTTCCCCTAGTTCCGATATAATGGGAAACATAATGAGCCTGTGCAACCTAGCTTGCTTTCTCAATATGAAGTGGAGCAGAGAGGTTATATGTGGTTTATTATGAAAAAAATAATAAAAACATGTAAGCTATCATTTTAGAATACAAAGATTCTTTCTTCTCTTATGCATCTATTATCAGCTGAGGAATACTTAGTTTGAGATAGATAAAAAATCTTCACATAAACCTAGCAGACTTAAAAATGGCATAACTGTTACAGGTAGTCCTCGCTTAATGACCAGAACAGCCTGAAATCTCAGTCACTGAGTGAAGTAGCCATTAAGCAATTCATCAAGTGACTGCTTAGTTCAATAATTGCAATTCCCTTGCAGTCATTAAACAGTCTCACTGGTTATTTAGTTTCAAGTAAATATCCCAAAAATGCTTTTCCAAAAGGCAGCTGGATTTTCTTGGTTTTTTTTCCCCCTTTTAAAACATTTCGCTCCATATCCAAGAAGCGAAACTTTTTCAAAGGAAAAAAAACCAAGAAAGTCCAGTTATCCTTTGGAAAAGCACCTTTGAGACAGTCATGACCGGGATGATTGAGAATGAAGAGTGCCTAAGGGGGTGGCGAGCCTTTTGGAGGCCTGACATGAGCATATGAACAGCCATCCCCTTCACATGAAGGCCTGAATCAGTGGTGGGATTCCAATTTTTTTACTACCGGTTCTGTATGTGTGGCTTGGTGGGCGTGGCTTGGTGAGCATGGCAGGGGAAGGATACTGCAAAATCTCCATTCCCTCCTGATCAGCTGGGACTCGGGAGGCAGAGAATAGATGTGGGTGAGGCTAGTCAGAGGTGGTATTTACCGGTTCTCCAAACTATTCATAATTTCCGCTACTGGTTCTCCAGAACTGGTCAGAACCTGCTGAATACCACCTCTGGACTGAATGCCTAGGAAGGTCTCTTAGTGGAACAAAAGACAGCTGTGTAGTAGGGAGTTCCAAAGGCTCAGGAGGCTCCTTAAGTGCAGCACAAAGTAGCCTCAGTCTCCCTCCATAAAAGGGTGAATGCATGGGAAACCACCACAGCAGAGTGCAAAGAAAATTCAGAGATTTAGTAGAGATTTGCTTCCACTGCATCTAAGTATCTGCTTGATGGTTTTAACCCATTGGAATGCAAGCTGGAACATTTTATTTTAGGATTGAGCCTTGCAGGAGCTTTGCTTGGGAGAGGCTTGGGAAAGTGAAGGCATCTTTCCCCCCCTTCCCATTTTTTCAGCACGCACCCAGCTCCAGCGTTCCTGCCATGTTCTGATTGCAGCAAAAAGGGGTGTTTTATGATGCTCCAAATGAGTGGCTGCCTTTAGCATTTCTTCTTCTTTTTCTTCTTTGATCTTACTCTCCTATGCAACAGCTTACAGCAACTGCTCCTCAGCCTTTCTAGTACTACCTTATCTGCAACCTCTCTAGTACTACTTTATCTGCAGTAATCCCAAAGAAGAATTGTCTGGGTGTTTTATTGTGTCATTTGAATGAGAACATGAACTTGTTCTCCCAATACAAAAGAATTAGATGTTTTGCATAGACATGTTCTGTGAAAAATCCTTATGGTATACCCATACATACATACTGCGTAATATCCAGACAAATGCTCTGTTGTTAAGAGTGGTAACATTGTTTTCTTTTTATCATTTCAGTTTTCATGTTAGGCCAAGGGAAACTATAAAAGACATTATTATATAATAGCCCATCTGCAAACAGTTATGGAGGCTTTTGTATGCTATTTCCAACTGTAAAAACATTACAGTAAAAACGACACTCTTGGTAAACACCTGCAACTGTTGTTGGGTGATGAGATTACTTTGAAAAATGCTTCACTGGGATCAGGGAACTTATTTCCAAGTTAATTTCCATAGGATTGTACCATTGCAGTACAGTGTTTAGGTCGTAAAAGATTAAGTATAATCTTTATTGTCATTGTACTTAAATACAATGAAATTGGAAATTAGTGATTGTTTGGAGTTACAGCGGCACCGATGGTCGCTGTACAGCATCCCCATGATCATTTGTTCAAAATTTGGACGCTTGACATATTTGGATGCTGGTTCATATTTATGATGGTTGCAGTGTCCTGGGACCATGTGATCACCTTTTGTGACCTTCTAACAAGCAAAGTCAATAGGGAATCCAGATTCACCTAACAACCATGTTAGTAATTCGACAGCTGCTGTGATTCACTTAACAACTACAACAAGAAAGGTCGTAAAATGGGGCAAAACTCATTTAACAACTGTCTTGTTTAGCAGCAGGAATTTTGGGGCTCAGTACAACTATACCTGTAGTTGTAATTGCAGCCTGATTAACAAGGCCCAGTGATAGAAATGTTGGAATGATTCACTCAAGGCTGTAGACAGTCTGGCAAATGTAAAGTAATGTATTTTAATTCCAATTTCAGTATGTTTTGGCTTTCCTGTGTTCACACTACCTATTAAATGGGGAGTTGTACTTGTCACTGTGAGTTTGGCAATGCCTCACACAACATTGCAGCTGGCGTCAGGTTCATGTGTAAAGTTGAGCATTGCAGAGTCCTCTTCTGACCCAATTGTTCTGAGTTTGCTTTATAATGCTGTGGCATTCTGTGAGCTTAACAATGCAGAATTGAGAAACAGTTTTCAAATCCAGTGATATTTTTCATTCCTCATTCTGTCAGACTGGTCAATAAAGCACTGCCGTTTCTCTTCATCAGACGGAAGGGTAATAGTCACCCATGCAGCATTACTCTCAAGGTCATTTAGAATTTTGGTTCTACAAGATAAAAGTCAACTTTTTCAACTAAAACTAATGTCTGAACACAAATTGGCAAAACAAATTGCAACACCATTCCTGGCACCTGCCCACCTTTTACCAAGCCCATCCATCTCAAATTATGGCAATGAGTCATGTTTCCTGTTAGCTGATGATGCTTTAGAAGAGGGGAGTTTAACTCAGAGAATCCATCAATTACTGCCATTGAATTGTCTCACCATAAATCTAAAAAAGACATGGCAACCTGCAGTCAGTTTAAAGCTTGGCCATGTTGTGACCTAGGCTTCCCAAGAGCATGAAGCAAACTCCTTGTCCTGACAAAAAGTCCTTTTATTGATTTACTGTGAATTCTGCCCATTCACTTCCAGCAAAATCTTTCAATGGAGAATTTACAGTCACAGAACTTATCTGGCTTGGAGAGCTGACAGGCCGATATCTGCAAAACTTGGCAAGGGGTCTTGGAGAGTCATGAACCAATTAAGTGGACTAATTGTCTCCTGCAAACTCCACTCCCCTTTTGCTCCTCTTTTATTTCCTCTGGGAGGGTCCATTCATTGTCCACCTGTGCCCTTACTCCCAAGTCGACCCCTGTTCTTTAGCTGTTCCCTTCATCTGGCAACTCTGCACATGCACACACTGGGAACATGCTCCAGCTATTCATCTGCCTCACTGATGTCTGACTCTGAAAGCAGCTAGCATACGGCTCTGGCCCCCTCTCTGCCTCCAACACAGAGCCCTCATCAGAGCCTTCCCCAGACTCCAGGACTGGACTAGGTTCCTCCCCAACTTCCTCACTGTCTGAATCTGCTGCCAGCTCTGCTCGTGGGCCACAACAGATCAGTGCAAATTATGAAGACATACT